GTTATAATTTTTAACATTGTTGTAAATTTATGTGTGCACATTTCAATTCCAGCAACCTGTTGTTGATTATTTAAAGACAAACAAATCTTAAAATACAATAAAGAAATCAGGCCTTGTTTTAAATAAAAAAGTGCTTAATGCATTAGCGATTTTGTCGTCATAAAATTATCTTTATTTTTTTTTATAGACGTTAAGTGTTTTAACTACCGCAATAAATAAATAACCGCAAACTAGTTCAATTTAACAATTAACTCAAATAACTATAAACGTTTTAAATGTAATTTTATTATGAAAAGTTTGAAATGTTTGCAATTGTTATTTTATTAATTTTAGTTCAATATTATTTAGTAAAAAAAAAAATATATATATATATATATTTATATATAAACATTTTAATTATTTCTGAAATTTGTTTTTGAATAATTATTGTTTATAAATCGTTATTGAATAAAAAATAATTATTTTTTTATTTTTAAAAATTTCTAGAGTAAACAAAAAATATTAAAATTGATAAACACAAACCCATGTTAGTTATTTAAACAACAATTTTGTTTTGACTAGCAAAAAAAAATTTAGGTTTTTAAATATTTTTTAAATTTATCTTGTTTAGCGTTTCAACTTGCGTTTTATAAAAATATAAAAAAGTTTTGTCTGCTTTGAGCATATTTTTGATACTTAGTTTAGAACGTGTTCGCCAGGAATTTAATTTATAAATATTTTATGTTATTGTAAAAATATTTTACTTTTTAAACAAATCACAAAGAAACAGAGCTATAGAGAAAAATCGTTTTTAACGATTAAATCTTTTTTTTTTAAAATTTTAGGAAATTAAAAAAAAAATTAAATTAAATATAAAAATCTTAATTATGCAAACTCTTTTGTTAATTATTTTTAAAACAAAAAAACAAATACTTCTACGCAAAACTTTTATCGTGCAAACTTAAAAAAATACTCAACTGAAATAATTTAAGTATATTTAATAATTTGAATCGTATCTGTTTATAATAAACGTTCGTAAAAATTTGTTTATTAAAAATTAAGTTCCTTAACTTATAAACAAACTCAAAAGTATTTTCATTCTACGTATAATTACAAAACTCTTTTTTTTTTCGTTTGTAAGGAATTTAACTTAATAAAATAAAAAAAAAAAAAAAATGAGGTAATCTTTGTTAAGAACAAATTTAATTTATTTATTGAACTATATTTTTATTTTTAATTATATATCAACTTAATTAAAATATAGTAACATGTTAAAATATTTTAACATGACTTGTGTTATTTATAAACTGTTGGGCAGTTGCCCTTACGGCACCATTGTTTTTGGATAATATTTTATTTTGATGAAGATCACATAACTTACATTTGATTTTAATAACGTAAGTCTTCTCTTTTTCTGTGATCATCGCATCGGCAAAGCATCCGCAAAGTCCCAAGATTTAAAAGTTTTTAAAGTAAATCTTTTGTCCTTCAAAATACAATCCATATTCGAACTTTAAACAATTTAGAGATAATAGAAATATACAAGATTTTTATATACTAGTTTGTTTTGTTTTATAAAGAAAAATACATATTCATTAGTAAAAAATGGAGACTGTCATTAAACTAAAATGTGCCTTAGTATTTATTTAACGGAACCTGTAATGTGCGTGTACATAATGAAACCTCCGTTATATAAATATATTCAACGTAATATTAGTGTCATCAGCGGATGTTGTAGTCTACTCATGATTTCTTTACCTTATAATATAACTTGATTTATGAAAAAAAAAAACTTATTGAATCGCACGCAGAAGAAATTTGACAAATTTTCTTCATTCAAATATTGTGAGTAACAGGTAATGTAAATTTTTTTTAAAATAAATATCTTTACATATTGTTATTTAAAAGTTAATGTGGTTTTTTTAAAAATTAATTACTTCTTTTATGTTACCGCTAATTTAAAAGTTAAAAAATAATAAAAAGTAGCTTAACCAAGACAGCTCTATGCGTACGTAAATCGCTCTAGGCGTAACGCTTTAAAACAAGGCCTGGAAATTATTGAATATAAATGATATACCATAATACAAAATGGAAATAAATTTTTACTAATAACCCTGTAAGAAACATTTGTTGGTAGTTCTTTATTTCTAAATTGCTAATAAAAAGTATGTTATTTTATTAGTTCTACATTTCAATGTGTTAAACAAAAATTAAATGCACTACAAAAGATAGCCTTACCTGCTAAGTGAAAGGTTCTAAAAGTTTTTACCACATCAATAGTTGTAAAACATCAAGAATAAAAGAAAAAAGTCTCTCACCTTTTTATTTAATAATAATAAACACGTTAAAAGTATTAATATTAGAATTTAAATTTATAAAAAGTCTTTCACTTTTTTATTTAATAATAAACACGTTAAAAGTATTAATATTAGAATTTAAATTTGATACCTTATGCCTGAATGCCACATGTCTAAAGTAGCTATTTCTATACAAATATAAACAAGCAATATATAAACTTAGTTGTAACTAACATAAAAAAAACTGCAAGTAAAAAAAAAATTAGTTTTACAACTAATTTAAACTTGCAGTGTGATATAGCATGGCACGTGTCTAAAATAGCAAATTATAAAACTTAAATATACAATTTATAACAATCCATATATAAACTTTGCTGTAACTAGCCTAAATAAATACCCATACAAAAAATGCAAGTAAACATTTTACAACTGATTTATTTTACATCTGATAAAACTTACAGTGTGATATTGCATGCCACATGTCTAAAATGGCAAATTATAAAAGCATATAAACTAGCTCTATGTAAACATAGCTGCAACTAACCTAAATAATGATACCCATCAAATGAAATGTTAACAGTTTTAATTGATTTAAATTTATAATGTAAGTTACTATATGTCACATTTAAAATAAAAAATTATACAAGAATATTTACAAGTGATAGAGTCTATGTTATAGAAATAATTGTTCAACTAACCCTTTAGTTTATCATATAAAAAAAATTAAAAATATATTCAATGCTTTATATAGAAAATTTAAAATAAGTTTAACAACCTTTGAAATTACAAATAACAGAGTGTTATTTGTGTGAGAATTTAAACTTTGTTTATCCATTTGCTTTTTCTACTAAAATTTAGTAACAAAAGCAACTAGATAAACACAATTTAAATTACGCTTTTTTTAAATAGCTTCGCATTTAGTCGAAATGTGAAGCTATTTAAAAAAAGGCTAATTAAACTTACTGCAACAAACCTTTTATCTACAACTTAAATGTGTTTTAAGAAAAACGCCTTTTAAAACTTTATTATTTATAAATAAAGAATATATTGACAAATCTAAATCAAACAAACAGGATTTAAAAATATAATCTACAGAGGAACCACTTCATAATTTCTTATGAAAACCCTTTTTAGTATAAAAGTTCAGTTGTTTTTCAATGGATTTGAATATTGAATCTGTTGAATTAACGAAATTTCAAAGAATCTGTTAATAGTTAATTTTACTCCGTTAGTTTTGTGATTTTTGGTTACGAATTACTTCGTTAATTTAACAGAAAAAAGCAATCTGTTGCTTTTTCTAACGGATTGTTTTTAGAGTGTATATAAAAATCACTTTCCCTCATTTTTGATCATAGAATAATATAAGTAAATTTGAATCAACAAAATTATTTGAATAAAAAATTTCTTATAATCTTTTATATGAGCGCTTAGCTAAAAAAATCATTTGATAATTAGTTATCCTATTTAAACCAAAAAATTTGTTTTTTATTTAGTTGATCTCATGTTACATGTTTTTTTTGTTTGTTTTTAAAAAAAAAAAAAATCTTTTTACACATTATTTGATACTAATTTGCTATTCTATTGTTTTACCTGAACAAAAATTTCTATTTATTTCAAACTCTAACAGCAAAAACTACTTAATTTTTATGTAGCCTGCAAAATCTAGGTTGGCATATGGCAATGTCAATGCAAAAGGTGATCTATCTTTGCTTTACATAGCATACAATTGTCGACCAAATCTCTACAAGTGTCTGCATGCAAAAAAAATTAAAATTAAGCTTAGCAAGGTCATTAAAATTTATTCAAAAGTTAATAATACATTTCAAATCTTTGTAGTACTAAGGGCAGCACTTTTGTGCCGACCAGAAATCCTCCAGATTTTGAGGGCTGTTTATGTGACTGTAAAGGTAGATTAGAATTAATTTTTTAAATTCTAAAGTTAATAATCAAAATAGCATTTAAAATTAAGTTATATATAATAAAGAAATATATCCAATAAAAAAAAAGTCAATGTTATACAAACATGCAATATTAATTTTAAACTCATAAATTAATTTATAAATCTTTTATTTTATTCTTATTTAAACAAATTTTTTATATAAATATGATGACCACATATAAGAAAAAGGTCTTTTCTTTAAAACCTTGCTCAGAACACAACACAATTACTCAACTTAAAAGGTTGAAGTTTTTTATTCTAACTTTCATACTATTATTTCAATTTTCATACTAAAATTTAAAGTGTGCAAAGTATATTAGGACAGTGTGAACCTAAACCAGCAAATGTAAGTGTTTATAAATAAGTATAGCTGCAAGATATCATAATAATAAGTATTCCAGAATGGTCTTTTGAAATATTTTACGCAGTTTTGGTTCTTTATTTTGCCAAACATATAAAAAAAAAAATTATTAAATGAAAGGGGAACAGCTTTTTAAATAGTAACTTGTTTTTATTAAATTTTTTTGTTTTTACATAAATGTGTTTTGTTTTTAGTCACACTATAATATACATATATAATATATATATATATATATATATATATATATATATATATATATATATATATATATATATATATATATATATATATATATATATATATATATATATATATAACATACAGTTAACTTTTAGTTTTAAAAAAATGTAATAATAATTTATGTAAATTTCTTTAATTTTTTCATAATCAATAAATTTTTTATGTTTATTTTTATTTTAATCAGGAAACTGTCAAATTTGTGAAGATAAAGCAACTGGCAAGCACTATGGCGCATTAAGCTGCGATGGTTGCAAAGGCTTTTTTCGTCGAAGTATTCGCAAAAATCAAAAATATTCTTGTAGATTTTCGAAAGATTGTAATATTGTTCGTGATAACAGAAACCAATGTCGATATTGTAGGCTTAAAAAGTGTTTTTTTGTAGGAATGAAGAAAGAAGGTTAGATACCAAATTGTTGTTAAAAATTATTTTATTCAGTTTTCAAATATTATTAAATAATTGTATGATAGCAATGTTGTTATAAATAGTATTAATAACTAATTGCTGTGAATTATTGGCATCATATTAAAAAAAACAAACTAATATTTATAATTTTTAAAAAATGGTATTATTTTGATTGCAATTTTCAAACCATCAAATAACTTTGTGCATATCACAGTTTTTTTCAATGAAGTTCTTGCCATTTTTAAAAAAATTCAGTGCTTTTTTAATAATTAAAAAGTATTTATTTGTAACATGAAACAACTAAATTTTTGATCAAAAAGTGATGACTTTTTGTCAAGACAGTTTTGTCAGCAGTGAATGTCAGCATTTGTGTCAGCAGTTAAGCTTTTTAAAGTAAGACAATTAGAAAGATTGTTAATTTAGACGAGAAGCATCACAGAACCAAGTATGGAACCTTTTTTTTTCCAGAAGTTACTGGAAATTAAGAAGAGTGTTTTCCATCGATGGTAACATGAGTACTGTGGTTAGAAAAGAATGATTAAATCGTTTTAAATTTCTCTGTGAATCCCATATAAAGCAAGTTTATGGAGGAGACTGGCTCACCAAACTTTATTAGTAAAAAAATCTTCAATATATTAAGTTAAAAGACATTAGCCCAAGGACCATCGTACAAAAAAATTACAAAAAGAATCCCAGTAGGCTTTTACATTGTAGTAAGAATGTGATGATAGGAAGAATCTAATGTAGAAGAAATATAAGATTAAAGTTTTAGAGGAATCATCTAGTGGTATAATCTAAACAACCTAAAAGAGAACAAGAAGAAGGAGAAACTCAAATTTATAGCAAAGGCTTTTTTATGTGGCTTCAACATTTCACATCAAAATCTCTAACATGGACACTGTTAGATATCTTGACATTTTTAAGGCTAATTTGATCAACAAATGTTAATTGAAATAGCTTCACAAAGAGCTAGTATGGAGTTTGGGAAAAAACTTACTAACAGCCTCAGAACTGAGTTTAAGTGCTTTAGTACTCTAGATTTAATGCTCTTCTCAGGAGATAGTAGAAAGATTTGCATAGCTAATTCCTAGAAGGCACAAGCAAAAACCCAGTAGTGGAGTTAGTAAAATCCAGCATTCATCATCTTAGACAGGAAACAAGGTTAGCATTTATGCTGGTCTATTAGGTGAAGAAAGGATGCAAAGCTGATCATCAGAAATTTTCTTCTTACCATTTAAGTTTTAGCCTAGGAGACTTTTTACAAGACAGTTGTCAAATGCAGTTAACACCTACATATGATATGAGCATTTTTATTAAAACACCATCTATAGTCTTTAAATATCTGTGTATTTAAATCAAGGTTTTATAAAAAAATTTCCAACATTTACTAAGAATTTTTTCTAATCATTAAAATTTGACTTTTTAAACATGGCTTTAGTCTAATAACTGTAGTTAAAAAAAAAAAGTTTTTAAAAAGTAGTCGATTAGTTTATTGTATGCAAAAATAAATGCCTAAAAAATAGTGCAGTTCTATAAAAAATCACTGTCATAACAGGTTGTTTGTTTCTTTAAGCTCATCTTTCAATTATAAAGTAAAAAATTGTTGCAACTAATTTCTGTAACATTTTTAAAACTCCCCCATGGAGCTATAAAAAAATAAACAACTTTGTAAATGTGTAAAGCATTTTGATACTTTATACATTTACTTTGTAAAGAAAAATTAAGTTTAAAATTTTTTATATATATAAAAATATTTATAATGCAATTATTACTTGTGGATCAGTTCAGTTATAAATTATTCTTTTTTTGCAAACTCAAATTTTTATGTTTTTATTTATACAAGGGAAGCAGTTATTAAGTAATACTTTAAAGTTAAAAATCAATTTTAATGTGGGAAACCATTTTATATGTGAAAAATTGTGTACTACACAATCTCTGGAATCACCTGGATAAAAAGACAAGAAATTCAAGGCTGTCCTCAAAGAGGGGGTGATGAAATTTGTTGAGTGCCTAATAAAGTTCTTAATTTGCTGACTACAAGTCTAAGTTTGCCAGTGCTTTAAATGTCCATTAGTTATAATTATTAAGTTAAACCCCTTATTAGTTTGTTATACAAAATTTCATGTTTTTTCAACAGTTTTTCTTTGTTTGAAATGTTTAAAAAAAAACATGAACTTTGAAGACCAGAACTTTGTCCAACGCTTGATATTACAATAAGGTTTAACAATAAGTTAAAACTTCTGAATTGGTTGTGTGATAATTGTACCACAATATAAGTGGCTTTTACAAAATGTGCATCTACTACTTAAGTAGTTGATGCGCATTAAGTAGTAGATGTGCATTAAGTAAAAGATGTGCATTAAGTAGTAGATGTGCATTAAGTAGTAGATGTGCATTAAGTAGTAGATGTGCATTAAGTAGTAGATGTGCATTAAGTAGTAGATGTGCATTTGGTAGTAGATGTGCATTAAGTAGTAGATGCACATTAAGTAGTACATGTGCAAGAGTTCTCCTCAATATTTATTGGTGGTAATCAAAGGTATTCAAAAAAAAGTGTATTCGATTCTTAAAACCAATTTTTAATGCAAAAACACTTTTTAGCCCTGATACCACTATGGCTATCAGTTTGGTTAAACTTGCATTTATACTTTAAAAGAAAAACTTTCACAACTTGATGCACAGTTTGATTTAGCTAAAGTTATGCTGCTTATCTCAACATAGTTAGATCTGAGGTTTAAAATGGTTATACACACTCAAGATGAGGTATCTAACCATAATGTCAGTTGATTTTAAGCTATTCAAAACAGCTTCTTTTGTAAATTTCATAAATGGTACGAACATTGAAAACTTACATAAAAAATTTTTGTATGCTGTGTTTAATCAATTAAAATCTAAAAATCAGACTTTATCAACAATACTCAGTTAAATATTGCATTGAAAATTGAATTGTTAAGGAAATAACCTATAGTTGTTTGCAAACCGTAAATAGTTTGCCCACTAGAATACTGGAAAAAAAACTATCCTGTTCATTTGCAGCTAGCTTGATCTGAACTAGCTGTACAACCAGAAAGCTGTTTTCTGAATGAGTCAAGTCAATTGGTGGAAATTTAATTAGTTATTCCCATAATTACCAAAACTATGATTTAGTTTGTTTTTTTTTTAAACTTTTATAAAAGATAAACTTTATAAATTTTTTTTTCTTTTTTATTCAATTTATTTTAGTGATAAAATTATAATATAATATAAATAGGGACTAGAAAAATAGCATTAAATGCATGTAAAAAATTATTTTGTAACTTTATTGAAAATAATGATTGAAAACTAATCACAATATGCAAACAATAAAAATCTTTGGTTTTCTTTTTTTATATATATAATATATAGGTTATATTTTTGTTTATGTTTTATTTATTAGTGTAAAAGTTTTTTACTTCTTTGTCTTTTTTGTATTTTTAATTATTTTTATTCGATTTTTTACTTTTGCTTTTTGTTTTGTTTTAATTTCCCTTTCTTTAAATTATTTTTTTATTTTTCAATAATTTGTTTTACTTTTCAGTTCAGCAACCTCAAACTTCAGATTATTTTTTTTAGTAAAATTTGGTTTATTACTATACATTAAGGTTATTGTCCTATCTTGATTTATTATAGTCTCATTTACTGTTCCTAGAATCAATGCAGCAGTCTAGATAATTCTTAACTACAGATAAGTCTAACAAATTCATGAATTTTTTCTAATACTTTTCACATGTCTTTAATTGTAATAACTATCAAGCATTTTGATCCTGCCACCTGAAATTAAACTTGCTTTTACAGTTTTAAAAGGTTGCCATAATTAGTTCATGTACATTAAAAAAAAACTTTTTCCCAGATGCTTAATGCATCTTCTTTAGCGATGCCTATGATAATAATGTTCTTTAAATTCAATTATATATCTCCTCAATTATATATCTCTTCAGTTATATATCTCCTCAATAACCCTCAAAATTATAATTCATCATATTTAGTCATTACTGGCTATAAATTTGGCTCCAATTAAATGTAGCCCTGGCTTTAGCCCTGATTGTGTTATTGTTTCTGTGGCTAAAGTTATTTTCTCCTAGATAATTATACAGATTGCAGTCAAGACAAAACATCATTATTTTGAAAACAAAAAACTTTTTACATACTTTGTGATACGCAAAATAAGAGTTGCGTTACTTTATTTTATTTTTGTGCACAAAATACCACTTAAATAATATGAACATAATACAAACATGCACATTTAATAATTTGAATTCTGTTTATTATAAACAGTTATAAAGTTTGTTAGTTTATATTTGAGTAGTGTAAAATGACAAAAAAAACAATTCTAAAGTTATCTAACTTGTTCATTCTAGGTTTAACTTCAAAAATCATTTCTTATAATTTGTTTTAAAATTTTAAAAATAAAAAAATGCACTATATTATTTAAAAAAAAAATCATTAAAACCTACCTAATCATTTGTTAAAATCATTTCTCCATAATTTTGTTTATCAAAACTTGTACCCAAGTATCAAAAAGTCAGTGCACATGCTAAAAGCCAACATAAAGAACCATAAGGATTAGGTGACTTGCCCTGTCTGCTAAGATTAAGGCATTTTACACACTTTTATACACATATGCTTACTTCTGCAGATTTATAGTGGCACTGTCATAATATATTCTGGATATTTTAATCTTAGAATGCTTCTCTAGTTCAGACAATATCTCAGACTAAAAAAAAAGGGAAAGCAGAATATTATTGAAAAAAAAATTGCTCAAAAAACGGATTAAAATCAAGTTTTTTTTGATTGAAATGTTTTTTTGGAAATAATATCAAAAATTGATTTAATTTGAAAAAAAAATCTAAATTCATTTAGAAGGAATAATTTTAAAAATGCATTTATGGAATAATATCAATAATATTTGGATTTAGGAATAGTATTGAAAAACTAGCAAAGAGGTAGAACATGCAAGTAGTGTTGCTACATTGACT